TTATAAAGATTTGTTCACCTGTAGCCGGAGCATCAGCATGTCTCCGTAAGAAGTCCCTCGACCCAGAAGAGCCCCATGGACCTGCAACTCGCTTTCCCTCAACCTCTGCTCAAGCTGGGCCATGTGCTGCTTTTGTCTGCATCACAAAACCAACAGTACAATATCAGATCATTTTCAATTGAGCGGGTGTAATGTGAGGCTTGCCTTTCTATGACGAGCTCCTTCTCCTTCAATAAACTCTCGCTGGCTTTAACCAGAGCGTCCCACTTTCCAGAGTCGGAGTGCGCAGAGGAGGAATACAGAGACGGATACTGAGCCACTCCACCACCCATCAACTGTACAAACGTACATTAGAAACACAGTGAAATCTAAAAAGGCGATTGATCAATGCAGTATGCAAAAACAGGAAATGTGCTCAACTGTTTTGAAATTATTTTGAGAATGTTGCTTAAAAATCAGATTCACGTCAGATGATAATAAATCGGTTTTATATAACATATTTTTCGGATTATAATTTGCCGGTTTTTTTTCATAGTTTGGCCAGGGGTGCAATTTATTTGGAGCGACTTATGTGTGAAATTATTAATTGTTATACACCATAAAATATCAAATAATAGCCCGGGCTATTAGGTTAAGCGATTAAGCTTACCACCCACCGGCTCGTCAGCGATTTCTCAGTGTTCCGTGTTCTATTTGAAGTAGCAAATGTATGTCATCTAAACCAACAAGCTGTATACAATTTTAAAGCTCATGTTCTCATCTGCATTTATATAAAAGTGAAAACAATACCAGACGCTACACGAAGTAGATAAAACATAATATGGGCAGAAAATTGAAAATTGTCAATTGTCAAGAAATGTCTATTCATGGGGTTCTTAATTAAGCATTTTCGGGGTAGTGTTTTTTGGACCCTCAGAGATGCTTAACATGTCATTATTTATTCACTCCATACAGTGATAAGCTCCTACTGTACCCAGAGCTGCCCTGGGCCCAGGGCTGGACTGGCCATCGGGCGTACCGGGCAATGCCCGAAGGGCCGATGCCCATATTTGGGCCGGTCTGTCTGCCACATACAAAAAACATGTTTGTGAAAAGTGTAAATCCGTTGAGAAATGTTTGAGGGGAGCGCGCGTGTCCGCGGGGCTCCTGCTTTATGTACTCGAACGGGATTCCACCACCTCAGCGGCCGCAGTGTTCCGGCATCCAGCGGCTCTGAGCTGGACGCAGGAACCGCTCACAACACAACACGGTGAGCGCGTAGCCAAGACCATAAACGCGCACAGGACCATGCATGTCTTTTCGTAATTTGTGCACCCAATAAATACACCGCTGCAGAAAACAGTCCGCGTCTCCCCTCTCCTCTAAAATAAAGCTCGGGTACCTAAATTTTCCATCGCATTAAAAGTTCATCTTTGAGCCCAAAAGTAAAATGTTGTGAACAGATTAAACAGATTTAGAGCCAGCTAATGGCTGACAATATGCATTTCAGAATTTTTTTTACCAATTCTCATCCCTGTAACAAACAATATTGTCTGTGCCCACCTCCCTCACTCTGAGAAATGTTTATTACTCTGTTTAATGTAGACTATTGCACTTTATTTTTTTGTTGAAACTGCACATATCCTGATCCTCTACAGTATTTGCTTCCACATACTGTATAAACCAGGGGTCGGCAACCTTTAGTGCCCCTAAAGTGGCTCCTGGAGCCTTTTCAAAAATGTCTGAAAATGGAGTGTGAGGGCTATATTTTATTTCTAGTTTGAATGTGGTTTCTGGAGGAGGAAGAACATTCTTAACGTTTTTCAATGCTGCAAAAACTTGTATGGGTAATATTCAATTTTAACTGTGTGTGCGCATGGATCCCAAAGATAAAGAGAGTCGATAAGACTGCACTAAGAATGAGAATGAACATTTGCTTTTAGTCAATGAGGAAGGACTGCTTTATGTTTGCGATTTAATGAAAAGTTTTGTTGCAACAGGAGGAACAATGAAGCTTTAAACACCGTTCACTGAAAGATTCATTCATCATAAAGTCAGAGCACCTATTTTCAGACTTCAAAAACCTTCGCAAAGACGGTGAAAGAAAACGCCATTAAGGACATTCAGCTCCAGCAAACTTCAGCCTGTGATCGATATGAACAGACAGTGATGCAGGTGAACTCGGAGCCAAAAACAGATTTATTTACTATATTTGTACAATTGCAAGAAGGTTAAACTTAAAGCAGAGTTGTCACGTGGTGCGTCATTCTCTCCAGGACACGCTGCAGTGAAAATACACATTTGATAATCATGAATGGTTTTTATGTGTTTAGCCTTTACTTTGTCATTTAGATATTAGTCTAATATAGCTAATATAGCTTATGTAGCTAATACAGCTTCAGCCCCTGTACCTTCATATAAGCCTTATACAAAGCTGGTTTTCTTTTTGGTTTTTTTGTCAAATAGGGCTCCTTGAACCTTTTGAGTTGCCTGGGCCGCTAAAAAGGAAAAAATGCCCGGGCCGTTTTTTTGTCCCAGTCCAGCCCTGCCTGGGCCAGACTGACAGAAGCGAGGTAACCAGTATGTGCCATTGGCCCTTTCGACCCCCACTCACAACCATTCATGCTCACACCAGACTCATTCTAGGCAATGTGGGTGAAGTGTCGTGCCGAAGGACACACCCCCACTGTGGCACCCGTTTTTTCCAGCGTTTTTCCATCACAGTACTAACCAGGCCCTGCCCTGCCTAGTTTCAGAAGTCTGCGGGGTCTCAAGACTGTTCCATGATCACACATTGACATTTCATGTGTTTCCTTTTGCCTACAAAAGGAAATGAACCCAGATTCTAACATTTGATTTTCCACCCCAAGCGAGCGTGCGCATGGCCAATATTGTGCCAAAGTATAGAAAACAGGAAATGGGCAGCGTTTACCTGCATCTGCTCCACTTGCAGCCGCAGACTGCCAAGTTGGTGCTTGTGCTGCTGCTGCTGCCAGCTGGACAGTTCAGAGCGCTCTGCCCTCAGGGGGTGATCTCTGAGCAGGCTCTGAGGAGCTCCAGGGTGCTCCCTGAGAAGGGCCTGAGTCTGTGGGCTAAGGGGGATGCTGCTGTAAAGACCACAGGACGCCGGGGTAGAAGCCTGACCCCCCCTCCCAACCTCTGAGGCACCAGTCCGGGCCTCAGGCAGCACCTTATATCTGTGCTCCATGGCTCCTCTGTATGCGTCAGAATCTGTGTCTCTAATCCCAGAGGGCTGTAATCTAAACCTGACATCCGGCTCCAGCTCCCCTAGCAGAGCAGACTGGTTCAGAGTGGGCTCCAGTGCAGGAGTGTCAAAGCGCTGGCCCTCGTCTATGCGTGTGTGGTCGGGGAACAGTGACTGGTCCAAGCCATTGACCATGCTGCGAAATCGGCTCAGACACTCAGACTTAGGAACTACAGTCTCTGGTCCCACGCAGAGGGGCAGATCCAGGTTTGGAGAAGATGCAGACTTTGACAAAGACGAGGACTTTGAGGTGGAGCCACCCTGAGTCCGAGATCCAGAAGAAAACCTGCGCGGATCTGATGACAGCTCATCGCCCTGCAGTCCCGACTTGGAGGCCGGGGAGCCGGCCGTGGATGGCATGACATGTGCAGTGGGAATGGAGATCTGACTGCGAATAGGCTGAAAGGAGGGGCTGCTGCTAGTGCTGCAGAAATCTGAAAGACAAAAAGCGAAGCTGTTTAATTTCATACTGTGCTACAGGTCTATTTCTGAGTTATAATACTCAGACATTTCATAACCGGCCTACTTTTGTGATTAAGCTTTCACCACAGGGTAAATTAAACTTCTATATTTAACATGATGCAGTAATACATTCAAATGCTGTCTTTAAACTTTGCCCATGTTACGACAATTGTAGACAGCACCAAAACATGCTGTGTTTAAAAGTGTTGATATTCAAAGAACTCTCAAGACTTGTATTAACTAGTATTACATAAGACCTTTACCTGAGGAACCTGCTGAAGTCTGAAAGCCTGGAACTCACTCCAACTCAGCAAATGTATCATTAGGAGGGGCATTTTGACTATCGCCTGCACAAGACTTCAAACCAAAACCACAGTTAATAATGTGCATCTCTGGCCCCAAATGTGCCCAAAGTCAGAGAGCGGCTCCACAAAAAGTGCCCCAGTATTGTCCGCAGGTCTGTGCTGCGCTCTGTGCAAACGCACACTTAACACCGGAAAGGTTAGGGGTATATATAGACCCCTCTCTCGAATTACAGTGTGATCTGTGCACACCGCGTATAGGCACCTTTCTCCTCCCACCCCGGTCAGACTCGGGCACTCAAAGTCAACAAGTGAGTGAGGTAATCAAATTTAAACTATAGAAGCATGTAAATGATCATAAAAACGTTGGGTGAGCAGAAGAACAGACACTCTGAAGTCAAAACGGGCTAGAACAAGCCTTAACTTCACAAACACATAACAAATGTTGAGCTCAGGACATTCTAGCAAAAGGATATATAATGATAACAACTAGGTGTGGATTTTAAAAGGATCTGAGACCTCAAATAAATCTCAATCCATATACAGAATTCAGATTTTCTTATAGATACTTTATTGTGCCTGGTTATCTGAAACAGCCTATTACTGTGGCTAAATCAGGGGTAATTGTTAGGTTGCCAAAAGCTCCTGCCAGTTTAAGAGGGCCTGCCAACTCCAGGGGGCCGCTTAACAACAAAACAAAGCAAAGCATTGAACTTTAACTTAACCACAGGAGAATTTATTTAAAAAAAAAAACATGATTAATGCATTTGCAATAACTTATTTAAATGTTAATGTTTCACACAAAAAAGGGCCGACAATGAATTAGGGTTACCTCAAGTATAAAAATACAGATTTACCAAAAACAAAACATTTAATTAAAGCCGCAAGCGGCATCTAACGGCCCTCGCCGCACCGCGCAAAGGAGGTGGCGCTGACGCGCCATTTTCCTACCGCCCTGATGGGAGCGACACTGTGTGTTTTGAATTCCTATGATCAGTGATTGTGTGTGTCTTTGAAAAGGTAAACCTCATTCTCCCCATGTAATACTTGGATAAGTCTGTAGGGGGCGCTATTGCTTAAATTTCATGATTCACACTTTCAGTTCACTGAAACCCAAGAGTTGAACAGTCAATTCAAATTTTGTGCAAATCGGACTTTGTATGTGCAAATGGTGGCATTTAATGTTGTACAACAGCGCCCCCTACAATTTAATTTTCTTAGTGTTATAACAAAGAACACCAAAATAATACACTTAATGCCTGAAAAAAACTTGTGGCAAAGTTTGGTGAGTTTTTGTGTTTGTTATGTGTGTCAAATATGAGATCAAACAACAGAAAACCTAAATACCTGTATCCCCATGTAAACCTTTACTCAGCCTGTAGGGGGCACTAATGGGCCAATGTCATTGTTCACACTGTCATGTGACCTAGGCCCAGGAGTTGAACAACAGAGTCAAGTTTAGTGAATATCAGAGTTTGTAAATGTGCTCCTGTTTGCACATACAATCTGTGAGTGTGTCCATACAGTCTCCGTTGGATAACATGAGATTTTCCGCCTCTCTATGAAAATGACCACACTTTGGGGGTCTGTCAGGCTCAGACCGTTTGACTAATTAAAACTCTATATGCAACTATTGATGGTCCATGTGTGGACACCATGTGGAGCGATTTTCAGACAAATTAGGAAAACGGCCGCGGCTGGTTTGATGTTTGAGCGAGGTGTACTTTTCAGAGATTTAACGATTTTCTCATAGACACAGACAGGGGAGTGTTGGTCGTCGCCACGGCAACAGGGTAAAAAATAATCATAGGTTGTCATTGACTTTTTGAATCCAGATGACAAAACAGAATTATGTGCAAAATTTCAAACATTTTGACAAAACTAAATTTTAAAAAGCCCATGTAAAACTTTAACATAGTCTGTAGGGGGCGCTAATGAGCCAATTTCAATATTTCCACTTTCAAATGACCTAGACCCTGGAGATGAACAATGGATTAAAATTTTGTGCAAATGGGAGCAAATTTACTTTTGTGAAAAATTGGAAAAAACATGTCACATTTTGCCGCTCCGCTGCTCGGACAACGTTTAATTGATCCAAATTCTATATTCAATAATAGATGGGACATGGGTTTAGACCATGTGGAGCGATTTTGAGACAAATCGGTGAAGCGGCCGAGGAGGAGATAATTTCCAGCCGACATGTGTGAAAAATATCAATTTTCATTTTTCCATTTTCCAATTAAATTAATGAGCTTCCTGTTTGTCAGGGGGCGGAGCCATAATAACTTTTTTTTCATGTCTTGACCTGAGGAACATGTGTACCGAATTTCGTGGCTCTACGACAAACTTGACCTTCGACCCCCTCCCATAGGCGCAATGTAAACTGACTTTTGTAGGGGGCGCTATTCTGACATTTTTTTAGTCCCATAAAAATAAACACCAAAAAAATTAATTTTTCACCGGTTCTGAATTTTGGGCAAAATTTCACAACTTTTCATCAATGTTCAGGGGGTCAAATTAAGGTTCAAAGTGCAGAAGAAAAAAGAAACCAAACCAAGGAATTTTTTTTTTTAAATCTTCGAGCAAAAACAATATAGGTTTCCATAGTAACCTATTATACAAATGATACGTCGTTTTAAAGCGAACGACCAGACGAACGCAACTATTGGGTTCTCGGTGATTGACGAGCGCTGCCGCGCTCGTCAATCACCTCGCCCTCATGAGGTCACCCACCCCCCCCATAGGACCCCATTGATTACACTGTATACTGCAGCAGGAGCAAAGCCATTCACTGTTTTGTCAGTGTCTGGGCACGCGCCGTCGGGCTTGGGGGACGAATGTCCGGGCTTCGCCCGGACATTCGTCCGTAAGACAGTTGAAGGAACCCCCCTTTAATAGGACTTCAATCATTTCACTGTGTACTACAGCAGGAACAAAGCCATTCCGTGCCTCCGGCACGGATTTATCAGTGCTTGGGCACGTGCCGTCGCGTGCAGGCACTTATGACAGTTCAACGAGTAATGCCTGGGCTTCGCCCAGGCATTACTCGTTGGAAAAGCAATAGGCCCTTACCCCGGTTGGGGCTCGGGCCTAATTAGAAACATCAAGACCAAACAGTTTTCCAGGCCTTTGCTTTCATGTAGGTCAGGTTTTAAAGGTTATAAAACTACAAAATGCACACCGGACAATACTATGCATAATGACAGCATAACAAGCTGTGGAGACTTTGGGACTTTGTTTATCCCCATCTTCCCGGGGGTGAAAAGCGTTCTCAGGTCCAAACAATGTACCAACCTTTCCCACTGTTGTCCTGGGCCGGTGCAGCGTTTCAACACTGGTCAAATTAAAACTGATTGAAATAGGAAAACGCCTCATTTACTGAACTCTATAGTCAAAATACTGCAATAAATTGTATGTTTTGCTAAGGAAAATATTCAGTGTATACCTCCTAAACATCACAGACCTTAAAATGTTTATCGGGTCTTCCTACCATTACATCAAGAGTTAGTATAGTGACAGCACATCTCGGGACTGTATGTCTACCGCAGATAAAGAGGAAGTTTTAAAGTTTCATGTTCAGGTCTGCTTCCCCTTCAGTATTTGCCTTCGTTTTCCTAATTGGCTCAGAGCAACGAGGCTTATTTGTCTGGATTATAATCTGTTTTAAGTCTGCAGGGGACCAGGACCCCACCATAGACACGTCTGCCCTTTATTCACAACAGTTATCTGCCCAGCTCGGACAATACAAGCAGAGAGGTGAGACATAATGGTACAATACTAGACAGAATATTATAATTGCAGTAACAACAGCATAGATACTGTACTACTGTTCTAGCAACTTCTAATGGACAGAGGAGGTGCTTGGAAACATGAAAAACATAAAATATCTTCTGATTATTAAAATCTAATTTTTGGCCTTTTGTCACACTTTTGTGCCCTTTAGTGTGAACAAGCCCATATATATATATATATATGATAAATAAATAAATAATAAATCATTCTTTGTTGTTTATGAAACCCATAAAAGTTAGACACCACAGCTTTTATCTGGCCACAGCGGCTGTAACCAGAATTCCTGAGTGGAGTTTGCAAGCGTAAGGGCGCAAGTGCCAAAGCTTGTGACGACAGGGAACGTGTATACACCAGTTTGGTGACTTGTGACTCACATCTTGGTGTAAAAAGTGTGTGGTGAGGGGTTTACAGTCTGGGTTTTCAGCACACTCAGAATGGACATTGGAAACCCACAAATATTGAAAATGAATCTACCTTTATCCATCAAGGAGTTACATAATTCTACACTAAACTTAAGGTATTAAGTGCAGCCACAAAGATCTCTCCACTGTTTGTTCGAGGAGCGCCGTCAATGATGCTTCCCATCCGCTAAACCGAAAGTTTGAACTTCTGCCATCAGGACGGAGATATCGAGTGATATCAGCCAAGATTTTTTTATTTTTTTTTTAAACTTCCTTTGTGCCCAGAGCAGTGAAAGCGGCAAACACTCTTAAGCTTTGAGAAGTCCTGAGGTTGACTCTTGTCTTTAGGCCGGATGAGGCCTTGTTGGCGATTCAGTTCCCAGTTAGTTCTTCTAATTGTACTGTGATTATTTTGCTGGATGTGTGTCTTATGTATTGTAAGGTGACAACTAAAGACAATTTTCCACCTTGGTGGACAATACATTTTTCCTATTCTTATTCTTATTAAGAGGAAACAAAACAATTTAGACAAGTGTAGTTTCAATGTATATGAAGTAACACATATTTCGCTTGATTTTTTGCATTTACTGTGCAAGGGAAACATTTATTGTTCCACTGTAGGTAATCTTAACTCACTTATTCTGTTTGCTGTATTAAAACAAAATGTCTTTCAAGAAATAAAAATACAGTAGCCTTTTACCAACATTTCACAAAATAAGGCATAGACGATTATTGTCATAACTTGTTATTGCTCACCTTCTGTGCTGTCTGAGACAGAGGTCCCGATGCCAGTGTCCCCACTGTCTGATGTCCCAGGACGACGACCGAAGCGGCTTTGAAACTTTTCAGACACAGCCGGTGTTTGCCACTCCATGTCAGCAAACCGAGCTACAGAGTTTGCACAGATAGGGACCAATTAGATGATATGGAAAAAAGATTAAGACCATTGGTAATACAGTAATCTATGCAAGATCAGCCCATTACCTGCCGTTTTCGAGTCAATATATCTCAGACGTTGTCATTCCACATATCTTTTAGCCTAAGCGTAAAAAGAAGCATTACTTCTATAGTACATTTACAAGCACAAACATACTTTACACCTGGGGTATCTAAAATTCTTGTTTCACAAATCATTCATGGGGTACGTCCCAAGAGAAAAATTCTCGTGAAAGTAAAACAATAAATACAAAATCAGATCAATTTTCATTGCCACCTAAGTAACAGGAAGTCACAGACTTGGAAATTGCTTTGGCTCAGTGCAACAGTCAGAAAGAGATAATAAAAATAAAGAATAAAAAACACTTCTAAGGAATAAATTTAAATTTAAAATAGAGTTACAGTTACTATTTACAATATACAAGTGCACATGGAGCACACAATGTAAGGTGACAGTAGTACAGTGAAGTAAGTTTTGATCTTATTAGAAAAAACATTTAGTTATGTTTTGGATACTGAGTTCTGAGTGAGGGCGGTCCTCTCGTTTTCTCTTATAGGTCTTAAAAAGATGATCTAAAGATGTGATGTGGTTTACGTACCCCATCTTTATAAAACACATAACAAGTTACAACTGGCAAGAAAACAACAATCCACGCATCTGTCCACCATCCACGTCCATGTAATAAACACTCTTCTTTAAGTAGTAACAAAAATAACAACATGAGCCCATGCGGAACAGTTACATAATATGTCCAAGAACGTTTTTGCCCATTCTAGCTCAGGGGAGGACGAAACAGAAAAAGGTATAAACAACTGGAATACACACACACAAGAGAATATATTCCCTTAAATAAATTACTTAGCAACGCCTACTAACAAAATGCGCACAAGCCGTGATTAGTTTCAAGTGCTTTGTCCGTTAAAGCTCCACCAGCCTCGTTCATGAAGCGTACTTAGTATTAGTGTAAAATCATACGATTTTAACGTTTGGATTTTCTTCCTCAAAATTGTACTTAACTCCACCGGTGTGCAAAAAGATGTTGCGGTCTGTTAACCGTGAAACATAATCCGTGACAAATCCTGCCTGACATGCTAACATGCTAACTACTAATATGCTACGTTGCGGCTTGTTTGGAGGCTTAAAAGTTGCCGTGGGGCTTCGGATATGTGCCTTTCTCCATCGCATGGTTATACATGTGCAGTAAGATCGTTTTGGTTTCATACCTTTTGGCGTACAGAGCCAGAGGATGCGGTAAATCTCTGTTCGAGGGAGAAAAACAATCCGAACCATTCACTGTTCCGCTCTGCTGTGCACGCGCGGAGTAGAAGGATAATGCAGAGACGAAATATTTAAGGGGCTAGAGAGCGCGTGGATATTGTTGCTGTAGCGACAGTGGCGGCCATTTTGCGTTTTGCAAAAGAGCAGCTCGTCATTAAAATAATAAATAATAACATAATAATAACGATATACTGTGTAACATGATAACGTCGTTGGTTAAAACAGACTTGTGACACTTAATAACTATTTTTGTAAATTTAATTCTTATGACATTTCGCCAAAGGAATGTTTTATTGTTATTGTTCAGAATCAGAATCAGAATAATTTTGGCTCGGTACAACAGTCAAAGAAGAGAGGTAAACAATAGAGTAAGGCATAATAAAAATTAGAATACACTTCTAAGGTATAACAATAAAAATATATTATAATAATTAAATTATAACTATATACAATGTACAAGTGCACATGGTGCACACAATATGCAGTTAGCATTGTTGTTGTTGTTGTCGTTGTTGTTGTGGTTGTTATTATTATTATTATTATTATTATTATCATTATTATTAATAATCATATTATTATCTTTGTATATATATCTTTTAAAAAAATGAAAATTCAAAACATCCACGATTTCCAACGCCATATGACGTCATAATATGCAAATTAGAACGTATTTTTCTAATTTACAGAAAGTCTTTGGGGGGGCTTGCATCAATAAAATTAAATAAAACATGAATGAAAAGAAGAAACATTTATAGTGCATTTATGTGACTGTGTATATAAAATTGCGTTATGCTATAATGTAAAGCTGGGATAAGCAAAGTTTGGTGGCTGTCTTCATAGACATTGAAAAAGCCTATGATATGTTATGGCGTGATGGCCTGGTGATTAAGCTCTATGACAGTGGTATTCATACAATACAATACAATTACAATACAATTTATTCTTGTATAGCCCTAGGTCACAACAGAAGTCATCTCAGAGGACTTAACAAAACCATTGAAATCACCAACACAGGTCAGAGAATCAACAGTTAAAACACATGAAGAATACAGTATAAAGCACACACAGAAGAAAATGTCCATACATGTTGTAGAATGCTAAAGTGTCCTGATCATCACCAATCCTTTCTGTTGGACACTAACTGTCCAACAAGACCCTCCTGCATCGACAAGGAAAAACTCTTAAAAAACCCAGTGGGAAAAAGTGAGAAACCTTGGAGGAGAACTAGGGAAACCCACAGGGAGGGAGACCCATATGAGAAAGGGATCCGCTCCTCCGGACGGACAGACTAATGATCCAGGACCTAAGCTAGCTACAGAACGTGGACCAGTGGACGCTGAACGTGGACAGGTCCGGTGCAGGACTAAAGCACTCCCAGGCGGGTCGGGCGGGGCAGTCCGCAGGTGTAGATGGAAGAGGCCAGGCTCAGAGATCCCGTCATCGTACCATGAAACAGACAATGGGACAACGGGTGAATAGCAATGAACAAACTACAGTCAGAATCCTAAAAATGCTAAACAGATAAAGTAGGAAGGAGGAGAGGATAGTGCTCAAGTTACCATACTTCTCCCAGCAAACTGACTCCCTATGCAGCTTGACTAACACTCTGAGGAGTTTAACCTTCTCCGAGTCTTACCTTCCTAGCCATATGCTAAACTAAAGAGGACTGTTTTAAGACCTAGCCTTGAATAAAGAATAACATACAGCATAATATATAACATAATATACAACATAACACAATACATTATTGAATAATATATAACATAATATATAACATAATACAGCATATATATATAATATATACACTACATATTATATATTACCTAATTATATGCTAAATTAAAGTAAAGTGCTTTAAGCCTGGCCTTGAATGTGGAGACCGTATCTGCTTCCTTAACATAAATGGGAAGCTGATTCCACAGTAAAGGAGCTTGGTAGCTAAATGCTCTGCCACCAACAGTGACCTTTGAGACCTTAGGGACCACCAGAC